GACGAGTTCACCGACGTCAACGAGGGTGAGAAGGAGCTCATGAAGATGTGGAACCTGCACGTCATGAAGTACAACTACGTGGGCGACTGTCAGATTCCCATCGCGTGCCAAATGTTCCTGCAGATGAGAGGCAAGGAGCTCCTGGAGAAGAACTTGTACAGGAACTTCGTCCTGCACATGTGTTCGCTGCACGATTTCGGGCTGCTGAGCCCCGTCGCGCTGTACCAGACTGTTCAAATGCTCAACCAAATGCTGGCGGACAACGCCGAAGCCAAAGAGAAAATGCGCGAGTCCCTCCGCGCCCAGCGCGAGCACTGGCAGCTGGTGGGCAGGCTGCAGCAGCCGGCGGGCGGGGGCTGCGCCCCGGCCGCGCCCGACTGCAAGGCGCCGCCCGCCGCCGGCAAGCTGGGCGACTCGTCCCCCGCCGTGCGCCGCAAGACGTCCAACCTGCAGAACGCCAACCGCATGGCGTCGGCCGCGTCCTTCAGCAAGGCGGGCAGCCCGGCCGCCAGCCACGCCGACACCAAGCGCAAGATGTCCTCCGGCACCATACAGAGCCGCAAGCGCTCCTCCATCTCCGAGAGAAAGAGCTCCGTATAGCGACAGCCTTCCCTTTCCTCTGTAAAGGACTTCTTCGTTCGCTCGAGGCTGGCCCCAGTGACATGGCGGCCCGTCCACTAGCTAGGTGTGAATCGGTAGAACAAATTTTGGTCTTTCACGTTTTATGCATAATTTTAATGTTAACGCCATATCAAGTGAAAGCCTCCGTTTTAACTAAATTGTCTCTTGTGATTAGGTGTTTAGGATTTCGTTACTGCCCCCGCATGGTAATGTTTTAGTTGTAAGTGGATGTCCATGAAATGGATGACAATAGTTAAGTTACTAAATTATGACGTATTATACTTTCCTCGTGTTCTGATGGAAGTTAGATCTCACGAGGTCGCCGCCGCCGGCCCTGGGACGCATCACCGACACACACATTAGACTGACTGCACGCTATGAGAACCTTGCCACAGTATTCTAGTTCATATTACATTAAAATAGATAAATTATAGTCAAACGCATTTTGTCGTAGGTTATCATGTAATGCCTCGTACAATTCGGGAAAACTTTAAAGCTTGATATCCCGGGATTCCTAATAAAAGGCAAACGAATTAGTAAACCAAAAATATATTCAGGCTAACAGATTCGATGTCAAGTTACAGGTTTCTAACTAACATAGGATAATGCGTAATTATTCGCGGATTCTTATTTCAAGAAGTGCCTTCCACTTCAAAGTAATAGAGCTTAGGAATATACAAGACATAGACAGGTGTTCTAAATAAGCTTGACTGGGCTATCGAAACCAGACTGATCGAGAAATAACACTGATCAAAATATAATTTGTTGAAAGTGACTAGCTTATAATTATTTAAGTAGGATTTAATGAAATTGGAAGTTGAAATATAAATAATTGGATGTTAAAATTCGGAAGAATCGTGTGAAATGAAATGTTTGTTTTGACATGTACGTATTGTTACAAAGACTGCAGGGTTGCAATGCCTTACTCTCGTCTCAACGCGCTCCGCTGACGTTCGGTTCTCACACAAATGATCTTGGGTAAATCATCAAAGTGTTCACAACTATAATTAAGTGAAATCAATTTACAAGTCCATATTTAACCAGCTCATGGTGTAATCATATCCCCATGCTAGACTGTTGCAACTTTATTATATAGTTATAATAAAATACGATAAACACTCAATATTTTTACACTTTAGTTATGTTAACATAATTCCATTTTCCGATGCTGATTTGAATGACACTATTTTGTTATTTTTTATATTGTTCCATTTTAAGTATATGTTCAGTAAATTGTACTTACGATGAAATGAAATATAACAATTATTTTCAAATATCTATCGTTTTATTGGTCACCGATCGAATACCATTTTTTACACTCTATAAACTCTTATGGATCCCTATGGGTATTTCCTTCATGATCCATCCATCCATGTTCTTATCATGTTATGGACCAAGTGTTATATCGGATCATTACTGACTAAACCACACACTCGCTGAAACTAATAGAGAATCATTGGGTACTTGAATGAACGAACTTACCAATGACACTTCTACAACCTACTATTCGCCCCAAATATTGCCATCATGTTGCGCCTTTATGTCCGTATGAATGAACTACTTACATTGATATAAAAACCACAGTTCACACAAACCCCCCCACAGTTCCGAACAACTTCTAACGAGGTTATAAAAAGAGTTCAGATACCCACTAATAACTTGAAGCCAAAAAAAATATATTAAAATTAGAACTGTCAACGGTAACCGAATAAAGAGAAAAATGGAAAGCCATTTGACAAAGTTCACAAACTGAAATTTGTTGTTAAATATGTCACATTCGAGGAATGCACATAAATTATCTGATAAAAGTAGAACAGACATTCCGGCAACCGATACAAACGATGATGAAGGTAAGTTTGTCCGCGGGGGCGCGTCACGCCGCGCGCTTTACGTCAAGTGATTCAATGCACTGTTTGTTTGTAGGAGAAGTTATAAGTTGCAACGCCACCGAGAGCTGCACTTACGCTGGTATGTATCTGTACATTCTTATTTACAAGATGGTTACCGAGGACTGAATAGTTACCGAAGTGCCATATTAATTTGAGTAGGTAAGGTGAAGGATTAAACAAGCAAGTGTGTTATTTTTCGCTGGTCTCATAGGTACTGGGACTTATGTAAATGGCTTCCGAAAAGTTATTTATTAAGTATTGTGCTTATTACAGTGACTGTTTCAAAGAAACCCTCCGCGTCGAGCGAGGAAGGAGCCTTGCCTGGCCAAAAGTCATTCATAAGTATACATTCAACTGACCAGTTGTGTCAAGTGGCCCATGTAGACAACCCAACGAACCTCGAAGAGTGCAACGTAGAAGTTTTGAGCCTCAACGAAGTATTTCCTTCGACTTCGGAAGAGAGCCTCTCGAACGAAGATGAGTCACCAGTTCAGAGAAAACAAAAAAACTCCAACAAAAACAAGGCAACAATACAGAAATGTCATTCGGAAAACGCTGAGAAGTCGTCTTATATGCCGACAAACAGTAAGTCGTCGACAGGGTCCCGACATAAAGAGCCCGTTGAAGGCCAAACTTCGGTGTACTCTGACTTCGACATACCTAAAAATACATTGTACGTGGTCGGAAGTAATCCCGGGGAGCCGAAAATGTCGTATCCTGATCCACCGAAGAAAATATCTAAGACGGTAAGTAACCTTGTAAGTACCAACATGCATAATATTTGATAATGTCTTTTTAAAATAGATAAGGTATGTTTCCTGTAGGTTATTGGCATGCAATCAGAACAACAACTTCCAACGTAGGCACCTTTTGTTCCTTATCTAAGTGAGCGTGTGTAACATATCATGCAGCACGTTGCAGCTGATCACCTGTAACCGCCATACATTTTTACAGATGAAAAAGTTTCTGCGTAACATAGATAAGCACAAGAACGAGCAGAATAACAAGATCACTGAGAAGGCGATTAGCAAGCTAACGACGATGCGGGGGATCCTTAAGGACGGTCGCTGCGGACCCGAGTGCACCGGGGACTCCTCCGTGCAAGGTGCCGAGGTATACAGTACTGGTAAGATAACAATGCAATGACACCCATAACCGGGGGCAAAACAAGTGCGTTGCTGGCTACTGTGGAGGGACTAATCAACGCAATCGTTCCTTACTCCTCGTGTAGGTGGATGTTTATCGAGCTAAACTAGCTAGTCTCGCGCAGTTTCACCCGCTGCTCCATTTAATCGAAGCGTGATGTTTTATAACACACAGGAATATTGTAGCTATCTATCAGTGAAATAATTTGGACATCCGACCAGCGATTCCGAAGTTTAGGTACATACAACTTAAAAATTTTATCTTAATATTAGAAGGTATAGAAAAATACTGGGGTGTGTGTATGTGTGAAATATCGGAAATTGGAATTGTAATTATTCATACACAACTATATTATTTATATTTTCAACGAAGGTAAGCTATGTTAAGAAGCTACTATATTTCATAGGTATCATGATTGAAACTATGTTGCCATAGTGGCCATTAATGACGATATAACCACTGTGTAGGTACTCTCTTTGGTGGCCATGCATAGGTAATAAGGTAGATAATCAAGATTAGGAGGGAGGGTCTTAATTATGGTTAAATCGTTCATTATTCTATTTGGACGGTTCATTAGAATCTATGTATGTTTTCGGTGGAATAAATGATTTTGACTTTGACTTATAGGAGAATAAGGTTTAATGAGTAAATTAAAGTCTTACTGACCGACAGAGAAAAGGGATCAGACCTTTATCACTTTAAAAATATCGGTATAAATATACGTACCTATCTACTTTGACTGGTATTATCAAATGTATTTGTTCACAGAACATCTTACACTACCATTCGCAATGGATTTTGGCGCGCATACGTACAGTAAGCAGAATCCCGACAAAAACGTGACATTTAACACGCAAGTGGTGATCATTCACTTCACGGGAGATCTGTGCGTGGGACAGAGCGTCGAGACCCTCAGCAAGGAGAAGGACCAACAAGCGAGAAATTCTGAACTAAGGAAAACTTTCCTCACAAAATACAACGAATTTTGGCCCACACAGAAATAATTTTAAGTCTAGATTATAATTTCAGTTTTAGTGTGATTATCCAACCTATTTATCGCCGTATCATCATTGGGAAAGTTCGCCAAGAACATGGTGTGTGTTATTGGAAACGTTTTATATTTATACACTATTATATCTATATATTTGTAACTTGTGAAAATTTATTAAGTATCTAGCGTTTTGTCCCGCGTTTATTTTATTTGAAATCTGTTCGAATCGTATGCTTACTTTGTAGCGCTGAATTGTGTGATATTCGGGAAACCAAATTGAAATAAAAGTTATACTAGTTTACGATGTGGTTTTAATAAAACTCTTATGTTCGATGAAAAAATAATATTTATTGTCTTTTAGCTTTATTTACTAATTAGGTATCGATGAGATTTTCCATAGAACAAGATCTTTGACGCGGTCGTAGGTGAAATATTTGGGAAAGTCTAGAGGTAGTTGTTGTATGTTCCACGTGGAATGTGCATTTTCTGTCTTTACTTTGTCTAGCAGAGTGAGGAATGTCTCGTAGCAGGGCGCCACCGAGTCGAGGTGTTCTATCGTGAACACGTACCGTTTTTCAAGCACCATGTATAACGTTTTGGGTGGCTCTGTATTTAGTATCTTCTGTATTGTCGACACGAAGGCCGCTGTCAAATCGTCGTCGTATATTACTGAAAGGTAATGGGAATAGTTTGATTGTTTTATCGATCGTGTGGTATTAAAAAGTAAGTTTAAATAAATACCGCCAAGTTCTTTAGTGTAGCGAGAAGTAAGATACTTCTGTGAGCAGAATACTTATAAAAATAAAAGTAAGAAAATAAATACCTAATTAAGACTTTTAACATACCATCAGCAGCAATTATTATGCTCGCCTGTTTTATTTCAGTTAACAAGGCAGGACTCCAGGCAGTGTCCGTGAAGTCCAACGGCATTACTTTAAATTGTGACTTCACTAACTTCTTGTTGTACTTAGCGTTTAACTTAATTAAGTCTAATATACCGCCCATGTTGATATCTGAAACAATTTCATACAAAGTGGGTTGTGATTATCTGTTCTCAAAGTTTGATATTTATGTCAAGTAGAATACGTTTTAAATGTTAAATTTTAAAATTATTAGTAGGTTTAAAATTGTGTAAAATTATACAGTCTGCGGGAGAAAGTTCGAACGGCAAATATAGGCATACTGATTATAAATAATAATTTTATTTACTGCGCGAATGGCGTAGTTATTAAAATAATCAAGTTCCTTTTTTAATACAATTTACCTGTGCAAATAACCTTCTTAGCATACAAAGCGGCCACAAAGCTGGTGAGTCCTGTTCCCGCGCCAAGTTCTAACACACTCCGATTGGTCAGTTCCCCTTTCAAGCCGAGGTGTATCAACCAATCACCGAGGAGGAACGCGCCCCGCCATACTTGTAGGCCTACTAGCGCGATTTTGGTTTTGGAACTGTGTTCTGGAAAATGAGAAAAAAAAATGTTGTTTTTAGGACTGTCATCACTGATTTGCCGTTCATGTAATTAAAAAAAAATAGGTAGGTACTTATTAATATTTTGCTGCATTTTTATGTTGCGATTGTCCACGGGCAGCGCAGATTGCTGACTATCAGGTAATCCATCTGCTTATTTGCAGTCTTTTCCAACAAATTATATAATCTTTGCGTTGATTCTATTCACTTAATGATGATCACAAAGTGTTAAGTAATTAGAGAGGTGATTAGCGCGACTGGCGAATCAGATTTGTTTGCTTTAAAAAATCTAAACAGTCTTTCTACCATCTTGTTATAACACAATAATGCATTTACTGATTTAGCTAATTTTGGTCTTGAATTATTTGCGGAAGTCCAGAGAAATTTAATTCGTACGTAGAGCAAATTTTAAAAAAATCTTGAAAAATTCAAAATCACCCTAGTGAAGCCGCGGGCGACTGCTAGTCCTGTTATAATAACGGGTCCCATAATGAAATTGTGGCTAAGAAATATAGTTCTATAGAAGAACTTAAGACTTATATCAAGAACCTCACCAATTCTAATAAATTCCTTCTGTGGCCTCTCGATGTCCAGATCATCATCGTCATCATATGTGGCACTGCTTCCAGCTTTAGGCAATAAAAAGGGAAACTCTGATATCACATCTGGAAAACATATTTTGAGATATGTAAAAGAAAGCAAAAATAAATAAATACAAATATTATGCTTGTTTGTATGAGATGACGACAGAGTTACGACCGCCATGACCAGTTGTGTTGCCCACTTTTATATTTTATATCTGTATGTATACTTAATAAATTTTCATTTATATAAAAGTTACAGAAGAATAATTACGTGGTAAAGATCATTGTAGATGGCGTCGTCGACGATTGTCACCCATCTCCACAGGAGAAAGGCTTAAGTTTATATATTGTAGAGGTAGGAGGTTGTAACTGGGTACATTTATCCTATTCAATACATTTTTGTCGTTCTTCTCGTAAAATATTATCTAATTTATTTAGTGGCGGGATCCAAAACATTTGCTTATGTTATGTCGCCATCTTAATTTTCGCCGGCCTTGAAATGTTTCGGTGTTTACCCGGTTGTATCTACTGTAGATACTTACTTACAGCAGTTGCAGTGGTTCTGGGAGTTTGCAGAAGGCTTATCCCGATAAAACAATCGTAATATTTATGAGGCTAGCTGCAGCCAGGTAGAATAATTACGTCATAAGAACTTAATTTATGACTTTACATCACCTGTGATTCATAAAACTGTAATAAAATGCCACAATTTAATACTCACTTCCTTCTGTACTGGGCGATATTTTAGTTTTATAATCATACTCCTCATATATTTCAGATGTGACCGTCAGTTCTGGCATCTGGAATCATAACAGGATTCAGTTTTATGAATAAAATCAACAAAATTTATGGTTGTTGAATAAAATGTGGCAGTTTTCATGTTGAAAAACATTTTATTGCTAGATGAAGTGTGAATGGCTTGTAAAATGAATGAAAAATGTAAATATTTTGAAATTAATTTGTAGTGCATGTTGCAGTGTGACTGAGTCAGGATTTATGGTATGGTCTTATTAATGATGTTTACGTTAAACTTTTCTCTAGGGTTGTGCAAGTTGTTTTACAATATTCATGTTCATGTCATTCATAAAAAGTAAGTTTTAGCATTGGGAATTTTGTATCAATTATGTTTTTGATAAAACTTTTTGTATTTTATCAATGCATCATAATATTATGACCAAAAATATGTACAAAAGAGTAAAATTAATACTGATAATTCGCCACACTGTTTCTAATTAAACACATTGAATAATCATTTTATTTTAGAAGAGATATATGGATATTTTAAGAAATTAGTTTTCACTGCATTTAATATGAACACAGCTTCACATGTTTTGCACACACACAATCACCAAAATATACTACACATTTTAAAATATTTCCACTTGTATTATGTAATTACTTTCAATAATCAATGGAATTTAATAATATTATATAATTATAATATTTTATACTTATTTTTTTATTAATTTAAACAGACCTTATTATATTTAACTCAATATTAATTACCAAAGACAATAAGATGACTTTTTGCGACTGTTAATGAGGAAGGACACTAGGTAGTACAAAAATTGGAAACGGTCCAATATTAAAACTTCTAAAATAAATCTGTAATAGTGCGGCATGCATGCCAGCTTTTGTAATTTACTATGCTTTAGGCGTGTTTGTTATTTATGCCGCGTCGGTCACGTGGGTGGAAAATAGTATGATGGTGATCTATAATGGAACTTATGGATCTTGTATTCATACATACTTGTGTATTTTGTGATGCAGTTTCTTGATTGGTAATATCCATGCACACAACCATACTCATGCCAACATCATCTCACCTAGGATTATAATAAACTTTGAAATAACTATGGTAATTTCAAGATCAGGAAACAATCCTTGCTCATAAGGAGTGATAATTACACGAAATTTTGAATGATATCTGCCAATTATTAAAAGTGAAGATTAAGGCATTGTCAGTTAAAGTAATAAGTGAAACATATTAAATTTATCCAGTCTCTGGAGTGCTAATATTGATATGTGTAGGATTACGAAACCAATTTATATATTGATAAAAAAAATTTAATACTTTAAGTACCTTTTTAAAAATATTCATAGAAGCAGCTAGTTGATGACAGTTTACGTTTTAGGTTCACTATAACTTATTATATTCATTGTGTTTGAAATGAAATTCATTTTATTTTAGGTTTTATTCACAATTTTTGTTTGTTTACTTTTTCAATTCCACTGACATTATTGACACTTGACAGAACAGATTGACATTGACTTGACAGATATCAAATTTTGAATAGCTGCTTAAAATCTTATTAGTTCTGAAAGTTTAAAAAGAGGCATGCAAGTATCTTTTGTAATCTTAGGAAAGTAATGTTAATGGAGCGAAAATTGTATATGGGTTTTAAAACTGGTGATAGTGAAATAATTTTATATACAAATCAGTTTATTTTAGAATAGCACGGTGCGTTTCAAAGCAAGCTATTTGTCCTGAACTTTTCTTATTAGAAACTAAATTGAAGAATGTACTTATTTCTGATTAGAAGTGAATTCTCCGATCAGTAAAAAAACAGCATTTTATAATTCTGATTTCTAAAAATCCTTGTTTGAGTTTTTCAGTCCCGTACTGGATTTTCTTACGAAAATGTTCAGATCAAAATTTATATAATTACCTATATGTTATAAGAAACTTAATGATTATTTTAATAAAAAAAGAGTCATCCAAAATAATACTTGTGTTTGGACTATTAGAAAAAACAGGATGTACAACTATTTTCCTTTGCTACTGTCACTCTAAAAAGTTATCACATATTAACCAATCACAGCTCTACACACGATCGACGCTGCCACGTCAAGTGAGACGGGAGTGAGTGAATGAAGTGGCACTATTTCGGCATTTTGTAAAGTTTCGTCTTCGGAGAAGGCTTGTAAAGTGCCGTATTTTTCAACATGAGAGTAATCTTATTTACGGCGATAGCCCTTTTGGGCGCCGCTTTGGCCGATGAAATACCCACTGAAGAAAATGTACTCGTACTGAGCAAATCTAACTTCGACGGTGCAATCTCATCAAACAACTACATTTTAGTTGAATTCTGTAAGTATATATATTGTTACTGTTATTCTTTTGTCTTTTCTTGAATGTGGATTTCAAAATATAAACCATTGTAAGTCATTTTTTTCTTTAAAAATGTTATCGAAACTAGGGTCAGCATGGTTGCGCATTCGTGCCGGCACGTATTCAATGCCTTTGTGAATCATTCTTGATCATTGCAGATGCGCCATGGTGCGGTCACTGCAAGTCCCTCGCTCCGGAATACGCCAAGGCTGCCACCAAATTGGCCGAAGAAGAGTCTCCCATCAAGCTGGCTAAAGTAGATGCCACGCAAGAACAAGAACTCGCGGAGAGCTATGGTGTCAGGGGATACCCAACCCTGAAGTTCTTCAGAAACGGCAGCCCTATTGATTACACAGGTATGTTTATTGAATAATTATCTGAAATTAGCTTTATCTAATGTTTGCATTAACTTGTCATGGTTCATTTATACTGTTTTAATAATATTCTGATTAGAATTTGCTATGCTTGATATAGTTCCAATAGAAGTTATTTTATTGGAACATATTTTTTTTAATAGTGATGAAATCCTGTACTGTTTAAAGTTAATGACTCTTGATTTTGTGGCAGGTGGCCGCCAGGCTGATGACATCATCACTTGGTTGAAGAAGAAAACTGGACCTCCAGCTGTTGAAGTGGCATTTGCTGAGCAAGCCAAGGAACTCATTGGTGCTAACAATGTCATCATCTTTGGTTTCTTCTCTGACCAGAACACTCCTAAAGCCAAGGCTTTCTTGGGAGTTGCCAGTGCTGTTGATGACCAAGTCTTTGCCATTGTAAATGATCCTAAAGTCATTGCTGAGTTGGAAGCTGAAGATGAGGATGTTGTCCTTTTCAAGAACGTAAGTACATGTTATTTTGCTAATTCTTATGTAAAAGATATATTAATCACCGAAAACTCTATTAACTTAGACCCTTAATAAAAATTGAGCAAAGAATTTTAATATGCATAAGTTTATAATATTTATTTGCAGCAAAAGGGGGTAGGTGTATGAACACTGCATATTTTGTGCAGACATTTGTTTTAATAATTATGCAATTATAAAGTTGGTTAATGAATGGAGTGTGATAAACACGTTAGGCTTAATTTTTTGGTCAGCCATGTATTAATGTCTTAGCTTTCTACAAGTACAATTATCAAATATTAAACCACCACTTCTGACATAATAAGTTGCTGATAAAAGTACATTATTATTAGTGTTGTAGATGATTGGAAGTGTCCTCCATTTAGGTTACAGATAATAAGTTTGTTGGCCTCTCAAAACTGTGATAAAGAAGATGTGATTGCATCCACATTGTGTCGAAAACTACTAGACCCATGTGTACCTGATAACATTGGCACATTTGCCACATTATCAAAAACACTATAATTTTTATCTATCACCTTTGATTTTAATTACTGCCTTTTAAATGATAAATATCTATACATTGGGTAATTTCAAAGTTTCAATTCTAGTTAATATTTAGATAGGGATTTCCAGTTTTAAGAAATCTAAATATAAATCTTGACATATGTTTTTACCTTTATATTTGGCAGATATTTTTTATATACTGATATTATTAACGTGGTTGATAAATTAATCAAGTGAAGGTATTATTAAATATTAAATTATTATTTCAGTAACAGGTTTTTTAGGTTCAATAAGATGAGTTTGTTTTTAATTCTGAGGTTGCACTATGTATTCTCTAGTTTTCCTTATTTCGTTGGTAGGTACTAACATTATAGGTATAGTCAACTGAACAATTGAGGGGCAACTTTTCGATTTATTGCTTATTTATTATCTGTGCACAAGTAAGTTGTCTTGAAAATAGGATATTTAACCTGTAGATTCGAATGAACTCACTGTCCACTTAATTTATTCTGTGCATGTAGCTTATATTTTAATTTTGTCAACAGTTCGAAGAGCCCCGCGTCAAGTATGAAGGTGAGAAATTCGACGAGGACCTGTTCAAGACCTGGGTGTTCGTCCAGGGCATGCCCACCATTGTTGAGTTCTCCCACGAGACCGCCTCCAAGATCTTTGGTGGCCAGATCAAATACCACCTTCTTTTGTTCCTGTCCAAGGTAAAAATCATAAAAATTAACCAGTTTCTAATAAAAATAACAATATCACAACATTATTAGACAGAGAAGCTCTACTAGTTTCGAACCACAGAGGGGTTCTTCCTCATGAGCAGCGTGCGCGGACGCGGCGACGTCGCGCAGCCTACTGGTTAGCGTTGGCGCCTGCATCGCTGTTGATGGTTGCGCTGCGGCGAGTCCAGCGCGCCATCTGCCGGATACCACGCGCGTTTGCTGCCATCTCCGGCGGCGGCGCGTGTGACGATGTTGAGGCGCACGGTACGTTCACCAGTGGCGCGGGTAGTGGGTTCAATTCCGGGCCCGGCACAAAGTCTGTGTTACATATGACGCTTACTGTGTCACACTCCAGACTGGATACGCTTCGGACCGACGTAGTCTCCAAGCTCGGCTTCCACGCGGGTGGCAATGCCCAGCCACCATCCCTGTTGAAGCACGGACGTCGGCTAATCTCGATGGCCTCTCGCACTTTTCGCGGAACGAAGTATTTCTCCCTCGCTAGTACGGAGACCTTATCAAAACGTATGAAGTGAGCCGCATCCGTGCCGCAAACATGTTCAGCCACAGCCGATGCCTGGATGTCCATCTTCTTCACGCTACGTATATGTTCCTTTAGCCTGGTTGTGATGTTGCGCCGAGTTTCTCCGATGTAACTTGAGCCACAGTCGCAAGGTATAATGTACACACCGGGCACAGCTAGTGGATCCTTATCCTTTGGCGAGCGTAGCAGTTGTCTCAGCTGACCGGGTGGGCGGAAGATCGTCCTGATGCTATATTTACGTTGCAGCAGGTGTCCGATTCTGTCGGTTACTCCTTTCACGTATGGTAAGAACGCTGGAGTCCGCTCCGCAACTGCTGGTCGCTTCCTACTCGAGCTGCTCGCTAGTCGAGTACATTGACGCCAGTTGTATCCATTGTTCTCCAGTACCCTTTTTAAATGGTGAAGTTCGTCGTCAATGTACTGTGGATCGCATAGACTCAGCGCCCGGTTTATCAAAGTCCGCGGGACAGCGGCTAGGTGGGAGGGATGATGATGTGAGTCAGCTCGTAAGTATCGGTCTGTGTGTGTCGGTTTTCGATACACTGTGTGTGACAATCGACCACTTTCTTCTCGTCTTACGAGGACATCCAAGAACGGCAACATCCCTTCTCTCTCTTCTTCAGTGGTGAATTGTATACTGCCTGTACTGCGATACTGGTGGAGTTACGTCGATGACGTATTCGCAATAATCAACCGGGAACATGTAGCTGAATTTGTGGGACACTTGAACTCAGTGCACGGCAGTATACAATTCACCACTGAAGAAGAGAGAGAAGGGATGTTGCCGTTCTTGGATGTCCTCGTAAGACGAGAAGAAAGTGGTCGATTGTCACACACAGTGTATCGAAAACCGACACACACAGACCGATACTTACGAGCTGACTCACATCATCATCCCTCCCACCTAGCCGCTGTCCCGCGGACTTTGATAAACCGGGCGCTGAGTCTATGCGATCCACAGTACATTGACGACGAACTTCACCATTTAAAAAGGGTACTGGAGAACAATGGATACAACTGGCGTCAATGTACTCGACTAGCGAGCAGCTCGAGTAGGAAGCGACCAGCAGTTGCGGAGCGGACTCCAGCGTTCTTACCATACGTGAAAGGAGTAACCGACAGAATCGGACACCTGCTGCAACGTAAATATAGCATCAGGACGATCTTCCGCCCACCCGGTCAGCTGAGACAACTGCTACGCTCGCCAAAGGATAAGGATCCACTAGCTGTGCCCGGTGTGTACATTATACCTTGCGACTGTGGCTCAAGTTACATCGGAGAAACTCGGCGCAACATCACAACCAGGCTAAAGGAACATATACGTAGCGTGAAGAAGATGGACATCCAGGCATCGGCTGTGGCTGAACATGTTTGCGGCACGGATGCGGCTCACTTCATACGTTTTGATAAGGTCTCCGTACTAGCGAGGGAGAAATACTTCGTTCCGCGAAAAGTGCGAGAGGCCATCGAGATTAGCCGACGTCCGTGCTTCAACAGGGATGGTGGCTGGGCATTGCCACCCGCGTGG